CCATTTTGCTTAATTAGCTGCTATTTTTGCCTCAGACCAATAGACTCTCAGCCCCATGAATTAGGAGATTCTGTTCACCATTATAACTAAATATCCTAGAAAAGTATCTTGTAACAGGTTTTCAATAAACATTTGTTGCAAGAGTAAATTATTCTCCACTGTGAACGACCTAGTCCAGGCAAGTATCATCCCTCACCTAAGTCACTGTAATCACTTCCAACTGACCTGCTATTTCTCATATGTTTTCTTTACAAACTTTATTTTTGCTCACAAAGATATAAATGATCTTTTTAAAATCTACTTATCATACTAAACTTTTTTTAAAAAATTTACTATTACCATTAGAAGAGTCCAAACTGCAAAGACATTCTAGGATGCTCTGTATGATGTAGTAGCATTTACACATAACCCTATATAGATTTTTGGGGCCCTGTTTTTTGGTGACCCTGGTGTTACTTCACTGTTCAACTTAACCTCATCTCTTTCCCGCAATCATTCTTTGCCTCATCAACCTATTTTGATTGTCCTGCATTTATGGGATCTGAAATATTCTGTCTTGCTTGTTAATTGCCAGCATTGCTTTATCATTAATGTAAAATTCATGACAACAAGGCACTGCACTGCTGTCTCAGTGATTTCATTTGTATGATTATCTCCATAAACACTCACAACAACCCAGCTGGAACACATACTATTGTCTTCATTTTACCTTGAAACAACTGAGACCTCAGTTAATTGATAATTGCCTATTTATGGTCTACCCATTTTGCAAGAACAGGTCTCTTCAAGGCACTCAATAAACATTGTTGCATGAATAAATGAATTTCCTATGTGACCTACCTACCTAGTTCAGTCCAGCATCATCTCTTACTTGGGTCACATGTCCTGTACATCATATGCATCATTGTATACTCAAAGCAAGCCTTAAGTAGTCATATAATAACTACTCAAGAAATATACATTAAAAGATTTTGTGAATAAGTAGGGGGTCTACAGTGGAAACCAAAAACCCAAGCCCTAGACTTGAGCAACATATCATACCCAAGTCCAGATATTACAGTTTATAATAAATTTTAAAAATGAATCTCTATCATTAAAGAGAAATATTTGCAATTAATCATTTTGCCAATGAGAGAGCAAATTACAAGTTTTAAAAACTGAGAGATTGGTAAAAAAAATTCTAACATCACAGTGCTCTGGACTATGACAAGGCTCTAGGAGTGGTAATGGTGAGTGAGGTTTCTCGGTATTTTTTGTTTGTTTGTTTGTTTTGTTTTGTTGTTTCTTCTTTACCAAATCCTTTTTATTTCCCCATTTAGACTGACTGTGTTTTGGTCTTTTATAATCTAAACTGTCTTTCATATTCTCTCTCTCTCTCTCTCTCTCTCTCTCTCTCTCTCTCTCTCTCTCTCTTTGATTTTCCATGCATACCTCTTTCATACTGTTGTGTCTTTCTTTGAGGAGAATTGTAGGGTTATCCTTGGGGTTGAGAGGTTTCTGGAGCATAAAAAGGATGCAAAGTCTAGTTGTGGAATTTCAGCAATACAAAATTTCAATTCTAAAGATTCCTATTTGGAAGTAAAAACCATTCCTACCTTCCCACTTCACACAAACTTCTCCCTTCTTTAGATGATTTTCAATTAGATAGGTCTCTGTTTGACAGAAAATTGAGCAAATTGGCAAATCTGAAATTATTGAGTGGCAATTTAGGATTTTGACAGATGAGTGGGAAAGGAGTGGTTGTAACCGATATCACTCTGGAGTCCTACTTCCATTTGGAAGTGCTCCAAGAATATAAGGCAGGAGGTAAATTCAGTAAGGAGACTTGAAGGTCAAAGTACTCCTATTAATGCATAGCTTAAGCATAATCTCATGTCTTAGTTTAAAATATAAAAAATGTTTAATTTATATTCCTTTAAATTTATTATTTGTTAAGTTCTAAACTTTAAAAAATATTATTCTACAAATTACAAACATAGTCTAGGAAATGTGCCAATTTTTAAGTGACAATATTACTTTAAAAACTTGACTATTATTTTCTAACTAAACTCATATCTTCCCACTGTATTTATACATTTATTTATTTATTTTAGTACTGGGGATTGAACTCCAGGGCACTCAGCCACTGAGCCACATCCCCAGTCCAATTTTGTAGTTTATTAGAGACAGGATCTCATTGAGTTGCTTAGCGCCTCACCATTGCTAAAGCTGGCTTTGAATTCCTGATCCTTCTATCCCAGCCTCCCAAGCTGTTGGGATTCCAGACTTGTGCCACAACACCCAGCCCACTTTATTTTTAAGTCATAGGTCTCCAAATGCCTTGAGACCCTCATACCATCCCCATCCCAAGATCCACTCCCACTCAGTGTTTGGAGGACTGGAGGTCTTTCCAAAATGTTTATAGTCCTTTGAGTATAAGTCTCGATACCTTCAGGTAAACACACTCAGGGTCTAGAGAATAAAGTCTCTATAAGACATTATAGAAAAATATATCCTCAACATTTGTTGCAAGATTTGGCAGAAGGTAGGCCCCAGTTGTCTGCAAATGGTTTCCCATCAGGGAATTTCATTCACAAAGAAATTAAACAGATTCAACTTTAGTAGAGTGAATTGCATTTTTCCTTCATACAATCTGAATTCAGCACATAGCCTCCTTCCTACTTGACTTGAGATTCTAAGTAATCCCATTCATCATTTTAGCAAAGTAAAGAAAATGTCAGTCACTTAGATCATTATAAGAAATGCACACTGTATACTATCCCCTATAGAATTTGACTAAACCAAAACAACTAAATTGACTTGTGTAGGAAAAAACTCAAAACAATAAAATATTGGCAGCTTACAAACATGCAATTCAGGTATTATGGAAATAAGCCAACTGAAATCACTCAAGAAGCAAAAATAAAGCCAATTCACTAAGTTTGAATGTCAGAAAGATTTTCAGGTAATAGCATGTAAAGTGAAGGGTACCTTTAGAGTGACAATGTAAATTTCAGCAACCTGAATCTTTCCTTCAGAGAGTAACAATTCACAGGAATTCCAAAGGAATATATTCTTAATAAAATTGTAAGACCTTTTCCTGTGAATGAATTCTGCTCTTTCTGTCATGTTCAATTTTATCTGTTTTTGTTTTCTTACTTTAAAAGACGGCTTCAAATCCTCTTGTGTAATTAGATGGGATTTAAAGTGTAAAAATATTATGAGAAAAAGAATTAATATTATGAGTTTCTACTGTGCGTTAGGTGCTTCCTCACTTAAACCTTGTAACACCTTAAAAACCTACCTTCATGTTATAAAATCCCTAACAGAGGCTTGGAAACGACATGAGATTTTCAAGTTTATATAGCTAATAATGTCAAGTGTTGAAGCTGAAACTCTCACCCCCATTTGAACTCTCAGCATGTAGCTTATATCCTAAACAAATTTACTTTTACATTAAAATTATATAATAACCATAAAATTCTATCAAATATAATTTATATGTGATGCATATTATATTCATCTTCCATTTGTATGTGTGTGGGGGGGGCGGTGCTGGGGATTGAACCTAGGGCTTCCTGCATTCGAGGCAAGCACTCTACTAACTGAGCTATATCCCCAGCCCAATAGTATATTCATTCACATAGTAAAATGATCTCTGATTTCAATTGGATTCTCTGACATTATTTAAAGAGAGAAGGAGACTTTCTATATATCTGTGCTAAAGTCATGTGTCATGGTCAGATATGGCTTGCCTAATTCACTTTGGTGTTTTCCAGTTACAGTAAAAGCTTGTCCCTGCCAGGCATAGCTCTCGCTGTCTCCATGGAGGCTGGTGGACACTTAGTTTTCCTTTTCCTTTTTTTACTTGTGGTCCTACTTCTTCATTGAATTCAATGCCATGCAGTCAGCCATTTTAGAGGGACAAATTAAGTTCATGATAATTGTAGAGGATTTGTGAAGTGAATTGGATGGTGCATTTCATGGGGGCAGATGTATCAGTTGGTTTGTTCTAATAGTTCTACAAAGTTTGGCATTAGGGCAATTTTTTCTTTATTTCTTTCCTTTTTTTTTTTTCCTCCACCAGAGACTCTCTACCTGGAATCACTTCCTCTGTCTCACCCTTCTTTACCTGGCAATTTCCTTATAGACATTTAAATTAACTTTCTTAAGATTCTTTGTGTAACACAGGCTGTTAATATAATTTTTGTGTCATCATACCATCCCAATGAAAGCTTGAGAAACTTTTAAGAGTGGCTCTCAAGCAAGGTTTAAAAACAGATCTTTCAAAGTATACACCTTTTTTGACCCACAAAGAAGTTGGAGTTGTTGGGGTGGAAGATTCACTTCTCTCTCCTTCCTCAGCTGTAATCAGGACCTGTAACAGAAGAACTTCTTCTGCCAGTCTTAGGCACTCTGGAAGGAGCATTCACCACTCTGGAGTTTGCACTGGAATTCAGCTCCACATCTTAGGAGCTGCTTAGCTTGATCCTGTTATCCTCAGTCTCCAAAACTATACAATGAGAATTATATCTACATTCTAAATACCCCCTGAATGCTAAATGATTTTAATGCATAAAAAACTAAATAATTCTTGGCAGATTGTAAGCACTTACATTACCTAGGAAAAAATCATGTAGATCCAGCTTCCTTTTGGATTTTCTAGTCTCACTTTTTCTTGGCTTGCTAACAAATGAACTTCCTGTTACATTATATTTCTCTTAAGGCTTTATCCCATGAGGAAAAATGTTAATAATAGTATGGATTTATATTTTTTTTCGGCACATGGACTGTTGTGTGATATGCAAAAATATGCTTTGCTTTTATGCTCTTGGCATGTTCATGAGAAGATCTGTATGGGCACAACTGCAAGAAAATTCTGTAATAAATTAAGACTGAGCTGTACTTAACATAAGGGCTTAGCCTGGAATGTGGTGTGTGTGCAACTCTGATTGCTCCAGTCACTAAACCATAATTTGCCACAGAACTAAGTTTGAAGAATTTTAAGAGTGGAAACTTACAGGAAGCAGGCAGTTTTGCTGACACTTGATAATATCTAGTTGTCAATGAGATTTTAAAAGGTACACATGCTCATGTCGATTCCTGGAAAAAAAAAAATAAAAGTAAAGTAAAGAAACATACAACAGGAACTTACATGATGAAAAGTAATGTTAAAACATTTTGCAAGCATTTCAAATGGGATCATGTGATTGCTAATGTTTACAATTCATAAGTTAAATGGTATTGGCTAATTAAAGAAAGCACTTGAGATAAGAAAGAATTCAGAAATGGTTGT